TGTCGTGTCTGTTTGTTTGTCCTTCTGCCTGATCCTTGCCTTTGTTTACCATCTTGATACATTCGTAAATAGGGTAGGAATTTTGCGTAGTCATCAATGTTGTTTCCATTTCTGCTTATCTTCTAATCGAGTTGTTGTGGTTGTTGCATCTTGCATACTCGGAAATTACGGAATGATTAGGTGATCGGATAACTGGTTGCCCAGAAAACCAGCGAACGCCACGCAGGGGCGCGCGTAGGTGCGATCTGATCTGCGCACTTACACGAGTCTTTGCACGTCGATTCACAACTTAACAATTACGGGGATATTGCCTGATTGGATGTGACCCTTTCGCGTCAGCAACGAAACCATCATCCTGTGTGAACACGTGTAAGCGCGACTCGCGCAGCCTACACGTATTCACAAACGGTGATTGCAATCGATGAGGACACGTCCTTAGGACTTTTGCGGCTCTACGATGACATAATGACGTGCTCCAGGAGCTCAGATTCGTCGTAGGACCCGGAGTACTTCACCCCTTGGATTGAGGAGTGCCTCCGACAGAGGTTCCCCTGCCTCACCGAAAACCGACTGTGTCCCAAGGAGTTCCACTGTGCCACAACCAGCGATCCACGGTGTTCTGATTTCCCCACCGCGGACCACACTCACTACTTTATTTCCCCCGGCTTTGTCGTTATCTCCACTAACTTCCCTCCCTTCCGTAGTCTTCTCCCATATCACCAACTCAGGGTCATCCCGTGGAAAGCCATAGCCGCCTATTGGCCCAGCACGCCCTGCGGAAATAGCCGACAACGCGGCAACCAGACAGCCTCGGGACCGCGAGGGCCCAACCAGAACGTACAACGACCGGCGCCACGTGGCGACAAGCCACGACCGGACTCGTCGGGATCATACCCACCCCGAAGAGATCTTCCGATGAGCCGCCGTCCTCAACACAGATGGATCGCACGACCATAAATGACCCGCGCATGCCATCTGCCTTATGACCAGAAGTGGTCCGCCCTCTCTGCCAAATTGCACCCGTGCCCCCGAACAACTCTGCCACAGGAGATCTCAGTTCTCACCTGGGATTCCATCCCCACTTTCCCAAAAATCCTTGGCACACCGCTTTTCGCACTTCCAGGCCCCTATTCTACTCCGATCAGGAAGCCGCAACGGCGTGATAATTGAGCGATCTGGCTAACTAAGGGCGACTTCGACCCCGGAATGCGCATAGACGCGACCCCGTGATCATTAGAAGCAGATCGGTTAATCGACGGACAGCCAATATGAATGCTAGTCCACAGAATCCGAACCCACAGCAGCAGAATGCCAATCAACAACAAAATCCTAATCAACCCGCCCCACGAGCAAGGCCTCCCATGACACCACCTGATCTCTATCTGTTTGGCCCTGCACATCATCTTGCTGGAGCATGGTTAGCCACGCTTTGGGCGCAGCAGTACGACGATAACGAAGCTCAAGTAAACATTTCCGCCCGATTAGGAGGGGATGCTCATCATTGGTTAAGTACCTACGTATGGGTGAATCTCCCTACTTTTGAGCGATATTTTTTGAATCGATTCGACTATGTCCATCCTGAGCAAGCACTCTACATGATCAAGGACCGAGGTCAAAAACCTCTCAAGTCCATTGCAGAATATCGAAACCGGTTCTATCAAATGTTTGTGAAAACTGAGCGGGGCGAGCAAGTAGGGAGAGATCTGTTTATAGACGGACTCCGCAGTCGGACGATAAGGGCGAAACTGCGGAAACAGTTCTCCCCCATCAATCACACGCTGCAACGCTGCAGAGGAGATGAAATGGAAGTTCGCGGCGAGTTTCTTAGAAGGAGAAGACTATCCTAAGGAAGGAGACTCGTCCGAGCTTTCGAGGGCAGGGGCTGAGCTGGCTGCGTTGCAAAACAAGTTCGAAAACATAGGGTTTGTATCAGGACCTGTTACCTATATGGAACAGATATCCCCCAAACCACCAGCACCTAGTGTGATTACGGGCATGCCCACCCCCGTGTTATGAAACACCCGCGGACGCGTCCGAGGGGTCAAGCTCGGAGGGCGGACGTGATCACGGCCGCCGCGGCTCCGGCCACCGTTGAGTGCGGCCGTGACTTTCAGGAATTTTTTGTGACCTTAAAAATTTATCAAAAAAAAAAAGCAAAAAATATGGGGTTGTAGATCTTTTCGAGATCTAAATTGCGCAATTTTTTATTTTATTTTTATACTTCGTCTTCGAATTTTAAAAATTCAAAAACTGATTTTCCTGAGGCAAAAGCTGTTTGGTTTTTTTTTTTCCAAAAAAAAAACATGAAACGTATGTGATTTTTTATTTTAAATTCAGTAACGTTTTTGGATATGACCTCAAGGCAAAAGTTGTTCAGTATATTTGTCTGCATAACATATATTATTTTTCAGATTTTTTTTTTTTTTTTTTTTTTTTTTTTTCATGGCCGTGGACCGCGGACACGTCAGCCGGGTCGCGGCCTAGGCCGCGGCCGCGGACTTGTCCGCGGATGGCCGCCACCGAGGGGGATTCATAGCCCCCGTGATACCAGCACCTATAATGATGGCACCCCCACCACCAATCGAGAATCGCGTACGGTCGAATGAATCGACCGCCATTTTTGAACTGACCAAAACGCTAATTAGTTTGATCCAAGAAAGCAAAAAGGAACAACGGGAGCATAATGCTCAGTTGGAGGCTATGATGAGGAATATGCGACCCATCGCAGTACGAGCCGCCCTGACCCAACAAGGATTGGCCTCGGCACCTGTTCTCGAAGGGGCTGCGGATAATCTGAAAGTTTGTTACGCATGCCATCAACCCGGACGTCTGGCTCGAGATTGTCCCCATCGACCCCCACAACCGAGAGTCGGAGTCGCTCCAATGGCCGCGGCTCCCATCGCTAACGGGCCCGGACGGGTAGGAACCCTGATGGAAGAAATGGAGGGCGTAGGTAGTACGCTAGCTACTACGGAAGAGGCTGCTGAGCTCATTCCGTTGGATCAATATGTATCGCTTGGATATCCAGGACTAGGAATAATTGGAACAATTAGACCTGCGCCGGAACAGAAAGAGGTGGCGGAGTGGCTACCCTGTCCAGGAGAGATGGAGTCGGGAGGATCCATCTTCGTCACTGGCGAGATCGATGTTCTGAACATCGCCCGAGCATTAGACCACCAAATTCCTCTTCCAATCGGTCATCTGCTTTCCATATCAGAACAGGCCAACGAGCGAATATTGCAACAGTGCAAAGCCAATCGAAAACGATTCGTTCTTGCCCGAACAATGAACACGAAAGCGAAAGGAACCACACCGGATGAGAATATTGCAGGCACTTCCGATCCCATACGTATAGGACTAGTGCAGAAAAATGACCATTTCCTACGGATTAAACCCATCCCATGGAAATCCGCGGAATGCGATATCGAAGTATGGGGAGTCCCATATAATGCAATTATCGATTCGGGAGAAGTTGTTTTGGTTATTTCGTTACGAGTGGTGGAGAGAGCAGGTAGGAAAAACGATCTGATTATGCTTGCAGAAAAGGACCAGCTCGTTTCGGCAGACGAAGAAAAAATCAAGACAGTGGGAAAAATGACCAATGTCGCTTTTCGATTAGGGAAGGTTCATGCTTTGGAAGATATCGTAGTATTAGATGTTAATACTTACGACGTTTTTTTCGGCCTTCCCACCCTGGTAGCATTGCGAGCTAATCTGGACTTTGAAAGACGGTCAATTATCCTTCGAAATATGAGAGGCAAACCCTATGTTGTCCCGATGAGACTGACCTTGCGAACCACGGCTAATATAGCCCCATGAGTTTCCCCCGCGATGACAGGGAGTCTCTGTGTGATCACCTGGGATAACGGGCAGACGTCCGAAAACGCAGAAAGTAGTGACGATGATGATGACCTCGAAATTTTGGAAATGGCACGAGAGTGTATCTATTACCCCGTGCAGCAAACGAACGACAAAGCTCCAAGCAAAACTTACCCAAATTTCCGGAGAACACAGACAATGATTATGGGAGAACCTCCCGTATAGATTTCGAGGATGGTCGATTCTTTGAAACCCCCTAAAACCCTGTATGAAGGGATCTCCCCGCTTCTTGCCCGATACAATGACAAAAGACACTACTGTGACATCACCGACCTCTGGAAGTCTCTATTGACACCTGCAAAAGAAGTCCGATTGTTACAATTGGGGGCAGAGATCAATTCTTTGGAACCCCCTGAGCGCATCGAAAACGAACTCGGAATCAAGATCGCAACCAAACATGTGCCCTGGCAAGACCTTCGAGACGGGGTAACGCCGGAAGAACACGTGCCATTTGAGAACAGGATGCACAGATGATGGCCACGGTGCTTTCTTGGTGGTCGGATAACTCATTTATCTCTGCGCCCCCGCCGGAGAACACTAAGCGGATCAACACCAAACATATCGACGTAAGAATATGGGGTGAAGCATATGAGTTGCACATACCCCAATATGTGCCTGATGAGATCCATCATTTAATCGCAGACATTCTGAAAGAATATAAAGAAGCATTAGTGTGACAGACACTGACATCGGCTTGTCGTTGGTCATACAACACGAAATACAAACGGGGAATCATTCCTCGATTGACTGCAAGCCCTACCGGTACTCCTTGGTAGAACGGAAGAAGGCTCTCGAATAGATTCGGGAATTCGAAGTAAGCGGTTGGATCGAACCTGCCACTAGACCTTGGTCATTCCCGGTAGTATTAGTACCGAAGAAGAATGGATCAATTTGCATATGCATCGATTATCATAAACTGAATGATATCACGATCAAAGATTTATACCCCCTCCCCCGGATTGATGACTTGTTGGATGCGATTGGGTGTGCTAATTATTTCAGTAAGGTTGATATTCGGCATGGCTTCCATCACATTCTGGTTAAGGAGGAAGATCGGCCAAAGACGGCCTTCGTATTGTTTGAGGGCACGTGGCAGTGGGTTTAGTGCCCGATGGGTATATGCAACGCGCCGGCCACATTCCAACGAGCTATGAACATCACGTTCCAGAACTTCGTCAACAAGACGCGACTCACGCAAGGGATGATCAACTTCTGCGTCATCGTGTACATGGACGACATCCTGGTTTATTCGGAAACCTATCATGGACATGCGCAGCACATCGAATGGACACTGGGCACCTTACGAGACGCCGGATTCAAGATTGCGCTCGAAAATAGCGAATTTTTCCTCTCGGAAATCTCGTTCCTAGGGTACGTCGTGACACGTGGAGGACTGCGGCCTGACTCAAGGAAGGTCGCGGCGGTGAAGGAAGCTCCTGTTCCCACATCACTAACACAGGTCCGAGCCTTCTTGGGACTGACTTCCTACTATCGACGGTTCATCAAGGGCTTCGCCGCGATTGCGCGGCCCTTAACGAATCTGTTACGGAAGGACCAGCCCCTCAGTTGGGACGCGGAGTACGAGCAGGCCTTTGCGACCCTCAAGGAAGGTTTAGCAACAGCACCTATTTTGATCCGACCAGACCCCTCGAAGCAGTTCATTCTCATCACGGACAGGCAGCCGGAGACTATTTCCGCTATTTTAGTGCAGAAGGGGAACGATGGTCGAGAGCACGTCATCGAGTATGCGTCACGAACGGTGGCAGACGAGCGGAAGAACGACTCAACACCACAAGGCGAATGCTACGCTATAGTATGGGGAATCCAACACTTCCATCCGTATCTATACGGACATAAGTTCCTCCTTGTCACCGATCATGAACCCCTGTTAGCGCTAAAGAGACTCACCAATTACACAGGCATGATTGGATGATGGGCAGTGCACCTACAGGAGTATGACTTCGACATCATCCATCGAAAGACGGAGAGGCACGACAACGCGGACGGACTGACACGTCTGCATCGACCAACTAAAGTACCTAAGGCAGAAGATATCATTCTGTGGAAGGAACCAGAATCAGCGAACGGGCCCAAGTACGAACAAGTGGCGGTTCTCCCACGTGGCAAGAAGCAGACCGGTGGCAATGGGTGACGGAGGTAACCCTACAACCCCTCTCTCTCCCCTCTCTTCTTCGTCTCTTCTCTCCTTGCCTGATAAATTTTGTTACTTTTGCGAAGCAATTTCTCACGTTTACTCGGTCTGTATGCGTCCTAACGGAAAAGGATACGTGGAATGGGTAGATTGTCGATAGTGTGTCGCACGAGCCCATGGCTCGTGCATCCAATATCAGAACGACAGCTAGCCTTGGCTATATCCCTTGTGTCGGGTTGACAAGATCCCGACCGAGGCTCACTTTTTGGAGGCCACATCAGCAGGGCTGGAGAAGACCCGGAAGGTTAGAAGGGCTGAAGTATGGACCGATATCACTCTGATTGCTACCTTAGTGGGTAACCCCCTCCTAGATTTCACCAAGGAAGATCGAAGGAGGGTTAGCGAAAGGGCTCGGGATTATCAATGGATCGAGGGTAGGTTAGAAAAGCGAAAAACGGACGGCAGTGGGATTTGGATGGTTGTACCGCACCCGTTCATGAGGTATGACTGGGTGAAGACAACACACGAGGAAACGACAGCCCGTTTTTCCATATGGATTACGGAGTCGGCAATCGATAAAAATGAGTGATATTGGTCTAATATTCGTGACGATGTGAAATTCATCGTCGCAAACTGCCAAGTATGTGCTGCTGACAAGACACCAATTCAGCCGCCCAGATCGATAGTATCGACAGTAGTCGAACGGCCTTTTCAAAGGGTTAGCATGGATACTACTGATATAGTGGTGCCCCCTGGACCCAATAGCAGTGAATGTTCAATCCTACTTGGGTTTGTGGACCATTTTTCGAAATGGATTGAAGCGTATCCCTGTCGTACGCGACAGGCGACCAAAATTGCGCGATACGTCAATCACTTTTTAGGGATGCACCAGGACACGGAGGAAATTCTGACCGACAATGGGGTAGAATTCAGGGGAGAAGTCTTGAGGAATCTGGTCATACACGGCGTCGCTATTCGGAATACCGCACCCCACATGTCGCAGTCCAATGGGCTGGTAGAAAATGCAAATAGGGTGATAAAGACTGCGCTACGACGCAATATCGTGGCACGGGACCCCAGGCCCTGGCCCGATATCGTAGATCACATCTTGGTGGTCCATCGCGGAACGCCCCACGAATCGACGGGCCTGAGCCCTTTCCAATTAAGGACCAATAGCGTCACTTGCGTTTCGATACCGAGCCTTCCCGATGAGTCAACACTGAATCGGCGACCCACAAGGGTCACGGTTCGGGACAAGGCCAAGCGGCACTTAGAGCTAATGGAACAGTCCCTCCCCAGGCTAGCCCGAAAACGCCAAAAAATGACCGAGTTGGCCCACGGCCGACAGGTCCGGAACGGGAACGCAGGTCCACGACCCCAGTACAAATTGGAGGACATCGTGCAGGTAAGGAAATGTGCTCGTCAGGGTAAGGTAGCGCCACGATTCTTCGGGCAATTCCACTTGATTGAGCTCAGACCAAACGGCGTGAACACCGTGCGGCTTGCGCTTGAGGTCTCTGGCAGCCGATCGGCTCGACCGATCACCCGCCACGTGTCCTATCTACGTCTCCTTTCTTCTTCGCCCTCTCCACCTTCATATGTCTCCTCCTCCGCTGAAGAAGAGGACGATGACTGCTTATCACCTGTCTATCCTTCTTCATCTCGTCCTTTCTCAGACACCCCGTCCCCGCCACCATCGCCATGAGCTTTCTCACGGAGCAAGCCCTCGGCGACCATCTCTTAACGCCACGGGAATACATCTCGGCGATTCGGCAGGTGTGCCACCCACGGCTCAACCAGGACCTTCTACAATTGGCGCAGTTCTTCTGCACTTCGGGAGTGTATGCAGCGGCGGAGTTCCGATTCGCGGGCAGTCCTCATGCGGTGGTACTGGCAGAAGCGGTGGTTGTCCATCGACGATCAGCTTCGGGGATTAGCCACGTGTCCACGGTCGTCGGCTTCAGCGGCGACATCAACTTAGTCAATGCGCTACAGCATACCACCATTCGGACGTCACTGAGGAAGTGGGCGCAACAACTGGTCACGGAGTGGAGCCACTCTCTTACGCGCCGAGGGGATAATCTGTTCCCCACCGACGACATCGAGCTCGCAGGGATCCGTGCATTCCAACACGAGCCAGCGGTGGTGCTGCCCGAGCTTATCCCTTTCCAGCCTCCCCGATGAACCATTCCCAACTCTCCACTTTCCCCCTCCCATCTCTCTTCCCCACCTTCTAGCAATCTAGTCTCCACCCTCGTCTCTCTCTTTGCCTAGAACCGCTCGCAGTCCCCCTTCTCGATCCTGGACAGTGGAGACTTTGGCGCGAGCACTTCGTCAAGCTTTCGGTGTGCCTGGTCGGGGTACGAATCACGTGGACAAGGGACGAAGACCATCGCTAGTGGATCAAGTACTTGGAGTGGCTGATTATCCAGGCCTGGAGAACGGACGTGGACGACGATCTTCTCGGATTCCTGTTCGGATAGGTGAGGCCCAGTTATCGCCAACCGATCATCCTGGAGCTTACAGTCTCACTCGCGTAGCTAGCCGACGACCTCCCCCTGGAGATCGTCTCGCAGAGTGACGAGAGCCCGGTCCTACACGTCCTCACGCGGATCTTGACGCCGTATCTTCAGTGGTCAGCGTGCGTGGAGGAGCTGGGGCGTGGCCGAAACCCGCCATCACAGCGGGATTATCTGAGCCTGTGCGAGGTTATCGATCTCGCCTTTTTCCAATATCGGGCGGCCTCCGAAGACGAAGAAATAGAGATCGAAGAAGAGAGCGCTGACGACGAAGAAGAAGAAGTCGCTGAGGAGGATGAGGAGGAAGAAACTCCCGAAGAAGGGAGCTACAGCGAGCACAGCGAAGGGGAGCAAAGTGAGGACGAGGAAGAAGAAGAACAGGACGATGAAGAAGAGGAGCTAGAGTTGGAAGAGTCGGAGTGGGAGATCTCCGCGGAGGAGCTCGAGCGAGCAGAAGCGGAGCAGGCGGAAGACCCCGAGGCGGCGCGCAAAAGAGAAGAGATCGCAGCCGGAAAACGACAGCTGGAATTCGCCAGTGGAGCCAATCTGCGGATCATCGACGATCCGGCCCGTGATCCCGAACCACCCAAGCCTGAAGATGGGGACCCAGCTGCCGAGACTTCGACCACACCAGCAAGACGGCGACGAAGCCGATCCCCTCCTCCTTCGGCTCCGACCGTCCACCAGTTCGAGCCCGTACTGATGTGGGGCATCAGGCTTCGTCCCCGGTCGTTCTCCCGCTGTCCCCTTGACCATCTCACCCTCTGCCAGGCTACTACTCGCGTTGTCTTCCCCCGCAACCCCTTCCCCTTCGACACCTTCCGCTTCTTCTATGCCACCCATCTTATTGTCACAATCCATCCCCACCCCTCGACCCAATGCGCCCTCCCCGACTTCTACCTCCATATCCTTCTCCTAAGCGCCGCGTGGCAAGGCCACAATATGGTCGAAGTTTATTGCATGATTATGGGGACTATCCCCGCATGCGAGAACTACAATCATTTCCGCGCGGCCCTCTTTCGCACCTTCACCACCCTCTATCCAGACTATCTCGCTTCCCTCCCCCATAGTGGTAATCGCTTCCCCCGTTTCCACCAGATCGTTTGATACCAAGAACTTCCGGAAACGGTGGCGAGGTTGGACAGTTTCCTGACCCCTCTCCCGATTAACCCTCCCACTCGCCATGCCCCAATGTACCGTCTTCCCTTACCTCTCCCCACTGGACACTGGTGATCGGTTGATTGGCGTGCGTATCATTGCGATGACGCGTGCGATCCCCTCCTTGGATTGTCAATGGTCCTTCCAAAGGAATTAGTAGTTAAGAGTTGTGTTTGCCACACTGGACGACGTCCACACTCATTTGAACGGTAAGTGACACAAAAGGAAAAGCTCCACGTGTCGATCAATTAGAAAGATCGACACGTGTCAACAAGCAAGCAGGAGCTTGCTTATATTGGAACGCCCTGGGCGTCACATATGTGACGAACCGATTTCCGCACCACGCGATTTCCTGCGCGATAGCGATGAGGGGTCCTTAGCTGGGAGGAATGGGCCAATTACGGGAGATCGGGATAGGAAGGAAATTGCATTGGTGTCCCTGCTTCTTCCTCTTTTTCGTCGTTTCTCTTTTTGATGGTTGGGTTCGGAACTGGGCGCGTCCCAGGACGATCGGTCGATTGGTCGGTTGGATGGTTGGCGCATTGACATGCACGCGATTAATAACTGTTGACGTCGCTTTTTTCGTTTCGATTTTGGAATTCAGGCGCGGACATCGCGCTGGAATTTGCTTCGTTCTTTTTGAATTTTCTTTTTGAATTCTTTTTCGAATCTTGTCGAGCCCCGATGGCTCTCGGAATTTCGGACTTTTTTTTCGGAGTTTGTGCTTTTTTGCTTTTTCCGCATTAGATAGGAATTTAGGAATTTTGTAATTAGGAATTTCTTCTGGGCCGCACGGCGCTTTTTGCTTACGCGCTTTTTCATGCGGCTGCAACGAAACTCTGATTAGTCGGCGCCGTTAATCATGTGTGTAACTGTAAATTTGGGCGGGCGCCATTGTAACAGTATCTTTCTTCTTGTGTTTCGCCTTTCCCGCCCTTCTTCTCCTTCTTTTCGCTATATTTTGGTAGCCACGGTCTGCATGATCGGTGGAGAGCGGCTACGTCCCCCACGTCGCGGCCCGGCCATGCAATACGCAGGCGCTCCCTCTCTAATCTTCTTTCTAAGTCTTTGTAATTCCGTGTTCTTCGCGCATGCATGCACGCTATAAATTCTCGTTGCACGATTAGTTAGCTCTCTTAACCAGCTATTGGAAGCTCGGGGTAGCGCGATCAGTGAGGGTCGGCTAACGAGCGAAGTAAGAGGTGAGTTGAAGTGGGAGTCGGGCGACCCGACGAGCTGGTGCCAAACACGCGGGGTTGACGCGGGCCACGACGGACTGTGGGTGCGGGCGAACTTGACGGGTGCGGGAGGACTAAGCGGAGTGACGGCTTCGTGGGTTGGTGCGTGACGACGGACTGTCCTCATCGGAGAGAGAGAGAGAGGAAGAGGGAGTTGAGGTCGATGGACGCGGATTTGTTGTTTCTTTTGTCTTTTCTCCCTCTCTGCTGGTGTATATAAATTTTGATTTCGGATCAGGGCGATTCGCCCGTTTTCGTTTCCGAAATCTTCGTTTGGTTTTCTCTCATCCCTACTCGTCTTTGCGATTTCCATCTCAGATATGGTGTGCGAATGGATGAATGAATGTCGTGTCTGTTGGCTTGTCTTTCTGCCTGATCCTTGCCTTTGTTTACCATCTTGATGCATTCGTGAATAGGGTAGGAATTTTGCGTAGTCATCAACGCTGTTTCCATTTCTGCTTATCTTCTGATCGAGTTGTTGTGGTTGTTGCATCTTGCATACTCGAAAATTACGGAATGATCAGGTGATCGGATAACTGGTTGCCCAGAAAGCCAGCGAACGCCACGCAGGGGCGCGCGTAGGTGCGATCCGATCTGCGCACTTACACGAGTCTCCGCGCGTCGATTCACAACTTAACAATTACGGGGATATTGCCTGATTGGATGTGGCCCTTCTGCGTCAGCAGCGGAACCATCATCCCGTGTGAACACATGTAAGCGCGACTCGCGTAGCCTACACGTATTCACAAGCGGTGATTGCAATCGATGAGGACACGTCCTTAGGACTTTTGCGGCTCTACGATGACATAATGACGCGCTCCGGGAGCTCGGATTCGTCGTACGACCCGGAGTACTTCACCCCTTGGATTGAGGAGTGCCTCCGACAGAGGTTCTCCTGCCTCACCGAAAACCGACTGTGTCCCAGCGAGTTTCACTGTGCCACAACCAGCGATCCACGGTGTTCTGATTTCCCCACCGCGGACCACACTCACTACTTTATTTCCCCCGGCTTTATCGTTATCTCCACTAACGTCCCTCCCTTCCGTCTTTTTCTCCCGTATCACCAACTCAGGGTCATCCCGTGGAAAGCCATAGCCCCCTACTGGCCCAACACGCCCTGCGGAAATTGCCGACAACGCGGCAACCAGAGAGCCTCGGGACCGCGGGGGCCCAATAAAAACGTACGACGACCGGCGCCACGTGGCGACAACCGACGACCGGACTCGTCGGGATCACACCCATCCCGAAGGGATCTTCCGATGAGCCGCCGTTCTCAACACAGATGGATCGCACGACCATAAATGACCCGCGCATGCCAGCTGCCTTATGACCAGAAGTGGTCTGCCCTCTCTGCCAAATTGCACCCGTGCCCCCGCACAACTTCACCACAGGAGATCTCAGTTCTGACCTGGGACTCCACCTCCACTTTCCCAAAAATCCTTGGCACACCCCTTTTCGCACTTCCAGGCCCCCATTCTACTCCGATCAGGAAGTCGCGTTGGGCGTGAGGTTGGGCGTCACAACACTGCATTTTGAACGGCCCGGGCCCTTTCTTGATGGGTGAAAGTCCGTGAGATAGATATTGGCCCTTTGATATTATAAGGTTCCCATATCTGTTAGAGTCTGACGAACCCATATTCACCTAGTATTGTATACCGCGTGGGCGCGGGGGACGTAGCCCTATGGAAGCCAAAGCAATGGGACTAAGCGAGCGTGCAAATGAGTGAGAGAGAGAGAGAGAGAGAGAGAGAGAGAGAGAGAGAGAGAGAGAGAGAGAGAGAGAGAGACGCTGAATGGCAAAAATGGAATATGGGTGAAATTGTGGCCACAATCTATTTCACGGTTGAATTTTTTATTTTTATTATTTAATATTTTTCCTGGAAAGATCACAACAAAATCTACGAGCCGAGCACGAAAAATCACTGAAGTTGGAGTTATTTTTCCTTGACCCACACATGGTTGAGTGTCAAAAATAGAAAATGTGCCCAATCGGCGCGGCGATTATTTCGAGGTCTTTATGATTTTTTGTACATTTTTTGGATATTTTCCTAGAAAAATCACGACCTAGTCTAAGGATTCTCACATTTTCGTACTTTTCTGCGAATTCTTCTGAGCACAAAAATCGTACAAGTTGCCTCTTGCAAATTACGAGACTGGACCCACTGGTACCCCTTTGTGTAGAGGCCTATGGGAAACAACATTCACACGTGTCCGCACCAGACCCTGCCTCAACGTCTGGGCCTGAGGGCATTGGCGAACAGGTTTTTCTTTAGTCTCTTTTGCAGTTCACATGCATGAGTGGACCGGTCCTCCAACTTTGCTACTGTGCCGGTTCTACTCACGATAGTTGTAGGTAGTCCGTAAGAACGTGGTGGACCAGCCCCCAACAAATTTCACCCCTTTAGAACCCAATTGTGCGCCAGTCCCCCACTGCTGAAAATGTGTCACCTTGACATAGACGCCAAAGCCCACTATACTGCAGCCTTAGGGCTGCGAATGAATAACACAACTTGAAGGCTTGAAATTTTTAAATTGTCTACCGCGTGGGCGCGGGGAACGCAGCCCTAAGGTAGCCAAATCAATAAGACTAAGAGCTCGCACAAGAGAGAGAGAGAGAGAGAGAGAGAGAGAGAGAGAGAGAGAGAGAGAGAGAGAGAGAGAG